AAAATAATTTTTTATTGTTTATTTTTTTGTTTACCCCCACCACTAAACATTTTTTTTATTTTTCAAAATTTCTTTTTTACCAGATTAAAGGGTATTTTAAGACGAATTCAACCATGTGTGATAAAGTTCTTTTCCGAAATATCATTTTCGAGAAATAATTATAAACGCCTCTGTACGCACACCATCCGTACTCGTTTATGCGCTAATTTACCTACGTGAACTTGGCACTCGACTTTTACTAAAATAAGTTTATAATAAAAAAAGGTTAATATTTTGTTTTTAGTAGTAGTATAATTTCGTTTGTAAATTTATAAAAAGAATTTTGAAAAAATAACTATCACCCGACTTTGAGTTACAGAAAAATCAATAATATCTTGATTTAGAATCGTTTCTAGTTATTTGTAGTGGCTTTCTCCTTGTTCGTAGTTGAAAAGTTACAATATATTTATTGAAAAGTTACAATATATTAGCAGTAAATAAAAAACGTAATTTGTCAATTTTTAAGATACCTCGAATTTGCTTGCGGCACAATTTTTATAATCATTTGTAATTGTTTGTAGTGACTTTTCCGTCGTTTGTAGTAGAACCGTTCAAAAGTTACATTACATTAGCAATAAATAAAAAATGTAATTTTGTCAATTTTCAAGATATTTCAAATTCGCTTGCGGCATAATTTTTAGAATCGTATTTTACGCTGAAAACAACGGTGTGTGATAAAGTGTATAAATGTATAACATATATGTTTTTCACGATTTATATATTTGTGTCATAATGTCTTACCATCTACATATGTATAATCATTGAAATTTTACATCGCGCATGGCTAGACAATGACTACAATACATTTGAATGAAATTATAAGTGCCAAGAGTTAAATAGCAGAAAATCCATGCACAGTAAATTATATGAATAATATTTAATCTTTTTCATTAATGTTATTTTTTATTGTTGTATTTTTATCTTTGTATTTTATCTTTATTATCCATATTGTTAATAAAATTCAATGTCAATCAATTATCATGCATGTATGTATTCCTAATTGTAATACAAAGTTTATAAAAATACATAATTTACTGTGCATGGATTTTCTGCTATTTAACTCTTGGCACTTATAATTTCATTCAATTGTAGTCATTGTCTAACCATGCGCGATATAAAATTTCAATGATTATACATATGTAGATGGTAAGACATTATGACACAAATATATAAATCGTGAAAAACATATATGTTATACATTTATACACTTTATCACACACCGTTGTTTTCAGCGTAAAATACGATTCTAAAAATTATGCCGCAAGCGAATTTGAAATATCTTGAAAAT